TGAGCTCCCTGAAATTGTATGCAGTGTATTACCTGTGAGTGCATGTGTGAATCTTTCTAAGGAAAGGATTTATAGTTTCGTCGAGTTTGCATAATTAGAGAGTGTAAGTGGTGGTTTAAAATGAGTGAGTGGAGGGCGCCTGGGTGGCTCAGTTGGTTAAGCAACTGCCTTCGGCTCAGGTCATGATCCTGGAGTCCCGGGATAGAGTCCCACGTCGGGCTCCCTGCTCAGCGGGGGGTCTGCTTCTCCCTCTGACCCTCCCCTCTCTCATGCTCTCTCTCTCTCATTCTCTCTCTCAAATAAATAAATAAAATCTTTTAAAAAATAAATAAATAAATAAAATAAAATGAGTGAGTGGGTTTGGGTCCTACCTCAAACTTCATTTGACTTGAAAGTGGCTATTCTCATAATTACCATAATTCTAGAGACTTTCTAAAATACAAAGATAAATTCTTAGGCCTAGAATTTAATTCTCTCTCTCTCCCCTTCACCTCTCTGGTCTCATGTTTTAAAATGATATTTATGCACTCTTCCCAGTAATTATCTCACTCGTGGTTCCTTTGCCAAGAGTAACAGAGATCCCATTGATAATAACTAGTATTTACATTGTGCACATTTGTGTTCATTTTGATGAATAAACAGTAGAATCATACATCTTCCAGCCATAACGGAATTTTCTGAGTTGTTAATAGTTTCTCAACAATATAGATAGGTGAGATTCAGTTTTAGCTTTCTATTCCTTTAAGAATCATTTGTTAGAAGAGGAACGCAAATTCAGTATTATAAGGTTTTCTGCAAAGTATGCTGCTCCAGCTAGTTCCTACATAAACAGAGAGGTACCCATTTTTGTAATGAGTTTGTGGATCCGTGTGGCCTGAGGCTGGTTACACTAGCTCCCAAGTCTACAGAGGCCCACCTGGGTAGCAGTTCCTCCTTCCGAGAGCCATGCTGGGCAGTGGTTAGAGCCCAGCTCTGCAGCCTTAGGCCAGGGTGGGGATCGTCACTGCCTCTTCTGGTTGTGTGGCCTTGGGTGAGTCATTTAGCCCCTCAGTGCTTCCTTTGGATAAAACGGATGATAACATCTACATCAGTGAATGCTGTGAGATTAAACTTAAAAGCTAATACATGGAAAGAACTGAGACCCAGACCCATTATAGCTATGCAATGAATATGAGGCATTATTATTATTATTGTGACTATTTCCTGCTGCAAATCCAGGTAGCATTAAATTAATGGTGTAAAACAGTTAAAGTAAAAACAAAAAAACCAGGGGCGCCTGGGTGGTTCAGTCAGTTAAGCATCCAACGCTTGATTTCAGCTCAGGTCATGATCTTGGGGTCGTGGGATCAAGCCCCGCATTGGGCTCTGCACTCAGCACAGAGTCTGCTTGTCCCTCTCCCTCTCTCCTCCCCCTGCTCTTGGGTACATACCCTTTCTCTCTCTCTCTCTCTCTCTAAAATAAATAAATAAAACAAATCTTTAAGAAAAAGGCTTTAGATAGATTAAAAAAAGAGAGATACACCTAAGCTGCTTTCATACTTGAAGGGGAATTTAAAAATCATGAAAATAAAAACTAAAAAAACTTCATTCCCTCACCATCAAGTACTTGGTAACCAAAAGTAGAATTTGTCTGTGAAAAGCACTGTTACAAAATTCTACTCTACGAAGATCCACAGGCTTTCTGTAAGGAACACCAAGCTAACTAGGAAACTGAAAGAAAAGTCATTTTATACAGTCTCAACAAATGAGTTATAAATTAGTATCTTTAGCATTTTTAATCTTCTAAATGAATTTATTGTGGGGGGTAAAATATATGTAAATAATTTTCCAAGGCCGCAGATACCATGTTAAAGTAAATCTTCCCTTCACCGCAGCCCCCCAGATGACTCTGTTCCCCCACATGACTCTCCCCAGATAAATCTGTTCCTGTTTTTTGTGCACCTTTCAGAGATAGGCCATGCATGCACCAGCATGTATGAGTACACACCCTACTGCATCTTTTTTTTAACATAAAAGGTACTGAAACACTGTTTTCATTACTTAACTACATATTGTAGACATCCCATATTAGCATATTATAGAACTAATTCTTTCATCTCCACCCCTGATTCTAATTTTTCAAAAAGCTTATTTAAAAAACCTTCTTCCTTTGTTGAAAGTAGAGAATTGTGAAGTCAGGAGTACAATAGAAAAATGGGGGGGTGGTGCTTATGATCCAACACGGGGACCCATTTTATGCCAGCAGAACTGTCAGTATTTACCCAGAAATATTTGTTCTTGTAACAAGCCAGGTTCCCAGCTCTGGTTCCTCAAGTGTCGGTTGAGGAGTACCTACTGAATTGTTGCCAAAAGAGGGAAATGAGCTCAATGGGCGCCCATACAGCCTTGTGATTGTGCCACAAGGAAGCGGCAGGGGCCACACCCCTGATGCGAAAAGCGAGGGCTGGACCTCAATGGGCCTGGCGGGCCTGCCAGGGGAAGCTGCTGGCTCAGGGTAGCTTTTCTACTCTAGTGTTCATGGAACCTGGGTGCTAGGGCTATGGTGGTTGTTTTTCACTGTCTCTTTGTAGTAGCTAGTGGTCATGCATGTGATTAAAAAGTTGTTTTCAAGGGTAGGAAAGGAAAGGATAGGCACTGGGGGGTCTCCTGAGCCTTAGTTTTCTTCCCCAGAGACAAGGAATCCCTAATTCTGTACGCTTATAAGGATAAGTTGATCTTTTTTTCCTTACACACTGATTTTTTGCACACTTCTACTTCTTGCTTTACATAAGTCTACTAACCTATACTCAGTAGTAAATCTTGGAGATCCTCCTATATTATGTGTACATACTGCTGCCTTATTCTTTTTAGAAACTGCCCAGTATTCCTTTACATAGCTTCACTGTTATTAGCTGCGTATGGATGGACTTTTAGGTTATTGGCTATTATAAATCATGCTGGAATAAAGATTGTTGCCCATACTGAGGTGTACACATGTTCAATTCAGGTGCTAGGTGTTGAATAATTTCCATGAAGTCAAATTGTGAATCAAAAGGGAGGTCGATTCTTTTTTTTTTTAACTCTTCATTCTGGAAAAATGTCACATATCCACCCCAGCAGACAGAAGGGTACTGAAGCCCCTGCAACTGCCACTCAGCCCCAGCTCAGAGCCGAGCTTCTGTCCTCTCCTTCCCTCCCCAACACAATCGTTGTGGAAGATGCCCGAGCTATCACTGTACCTATAGATACTTCAGTCTGTTACCTCTAAAAGGTGATTTTTACCGTTAGCATACCTAATATCCAGTCAGCAAAATACTGAAATCCGTGAGTTCATAATGGCACGAAAATATTAGGGATTGCACAATGTCCATACTCTGATTCTCTCATGCCTTCTTCATTTGTTACCTAGAATACATCTCTGCAGAGAAACTTCCCTTCACCTGCTACTTGATTACCCTGAATTACATAATATTAGTAGTCATATTGTTAACTAATACTCATATTATTGGGGTGCCTGGGTGGTTCAGTCAGTTGAGTGTTCATCTCTTGATTTTAGGTCAGGTCATAATCTCAGGGTCCCAGGATCAAGCTCCATGTGCCCCAGTGTCTGGCTCTGTGCTTCGCAGGGAATCTGCTTCCCCTCTCCCTCTCCCTCTGCCCCTCCCCTGCTCTCACACTCTCTCTCTCTCAAATAAATAAATTTCTAAAAACCACAAAATAGTGGCTCCTGGGTGGCCCAGTCAGTTAGGCATCTGCCTTTGGCTCAGGTCATGGTCCTGGGGTCCTGGGATTGAGCCCTGCATCGGGCTCCCTGCTCAGTGGGGAGCCTGCTTCTCCCTCTCTCTCTGCTGCTCCCCCTGCTTGTGTTCTCTCTGTCAAATAAATAAAATCTTAAAAAAAGAAATAAAAATCTTAAAAGAATTAAAAACCACAAAATAATATTCATATTATTATTCTGAAACCATTATACATACTATAGGATGAAGGAAATTATTATGTTACTATTACTAGGAACTAAGATTTTCACTAAGAGAAGAGATACAACAATGTAATATCAAAGAAGTAAAAATTGTATAGTCCTAGGAAATAGCATAATTTATTAAAGACTTATTTACAATTTTAGAGAGAGAGGGGAGGGGCCAAGGGAGAGGGGAAGCAGACTCCCTGCTGAGCACAGAGGCAGCACACGCAGGGCTTCATCGCAGGACCCCGAGATCATGACCTGAGCCAAAATCAAGAGTTGGACACTCAACCGACTAAGGCATCCCGTCATCCCAATGATATATATATATATATATTTTTTAAGATTTTATTTATTTATTTGAGAGAGAGAGAATGAGAGACAGAGAGCATGAGAGGGAGGAGGGTCAGAGGGAGAAGCAGACTCCCTGCCGAGCAGGGAGCCCGATGCGGGACTCGATCCCAGGACTCCAGGATCATGACCTGAGCCGAAGGCAGTCGCTTAACCAACTGAGCCACCCAGGCGCCCTCAATGATATATTATTAACAATAATATATTATTAACTATATTATTAACAATATGACTACTAATTTTTTTTTACAGTTCTTTTTTTTTTTTAAAGATTTTATTTATTTGTTTGACAGAGAGAGACACAGCCAGAGAGGGAACACAAGCAGGGGGAGGGGAGAGGGAGAAGCAGGCTTCCCGCCGAGCGGGGAGCCCGATACGGGGCTCGATCCCAGGACCCTGAGATCATGACCTGAGCCGAAATCAAGAGTTGGACACTCAACCGACTAAGGCATCCCGTCATCCCAATGATATTTTTTTTTTAAAGATTTTTATTTATTTATTCATGAGAGACAGAGAGAGAGAGAGGCAGAGGGAGAAGCAGGCTCCCAAGGAGCAGAGAGCCCGATGTGGGACTCGATCCCAGGACCCTGGGATCATGACCTGAGCCGAAGGCAGACGCTTAACCATCTGAGCCACCCAGGCGCCCCCAATGATATATTATTAACTATATTATTAACAATATGACTACTAATTTTTTTTTTTTTTACAGTTCTTTTTGTCCTTAGATTTCATTTCTAGTCCTTCTGGGATGCACCAATTACTGTTTTCAGGTCACCTGAGATGCTTCTTTTTAAGTTATGTTTATTTAATTTTGCTTTTGTACTTAAGGATAAAATAATTACATGGCCCCAAAGTCAAGTACACAAAGCAAGGTATGTTCCAAGAAGTCTAGCTTCTCCCCCTGTCCACCCTGTCCTTACCTCACCCTCACCCTGTTTATCCCCCTAAGTGTGCATGCACGTGTGTGTGCATATGTGTATGTTTAATAAAAGTAAAGACATCTGTGTATTCCTAGGCCCCCTGTTTCTTGAAAAATGGGAGGCCATCACACACTTGATTGCACCTTGCATTTTTCTTTAACAGTTTCTCTTAGAGCCCATTCCGTGGCAGTATTTGAGTTCCTCTTGCCCTTTTCCAGCTCTATGATCCTCCAGGGTGGGATGTATTACTTTATTCAACCAGTTAGTTCTCTGCCAGTGGACACTGGGGCAGTTCCCAGCCCGTGCTTTCGTGGTAGTGTGGTCGTAAGCAACTGGCACATTCATCTTTCCAAGTTGCTGGCCCAGTGTCTTTGGATAGGTCCACAGAAGAGGTATTGCTGACTCCAAGGGTAAATCTGTATGCTTTCTGTTAAGTTTGATATATTAATTTGCCAACCTACCTTCCAACAACAGTGTTTGGGAGTAGACTGGTTCACTCAAAATGCACATTTGCAAGACTGGTACCCAATTTGGTGTCCCTGTGTGTTACCAGTGTCCTGGCTTGACCCTTGAGGCCCTGGTTAGTAGCTGGTCACAGGAGCCCGGGCTCACTGACCAGGCACAGACAAGGAAGGGATGGGACTATGCTGAGTTAGAACCAGGAACCGGGGCCATTTTGATGCCAAATGTCCCTTGGTCTTTCATTTCTTCTGTATTCTTCTAGGTCATTTCTTTGGATTTATGAGGACATATCTGTATTTGTGAATGTGTACATGCCTAGACGTGTCCGACATCAAGTTTCAATAACCCATCAGTAAGTGCCTTTTGATTACAGATCAACACACCCTCAGTTCCTTCCTTCAAAGACAGATATTTATTGAAAGGCTGATAAGTCCTAAGTGGACATTAGAGGTGTCAGAACAATCTCTTCACCCTTCCTGGCTACAGGGTTATTTCCACGAGGGTGAAACTGGAAATGATTAGAAAACAACAGAGCCTCCCCACAGGTGATGCAGATGGGAATTTCAGGCTGAGGAAGGGATGCATCCCTGGGCTCAAGTATCCCTTTTTCTCTCAGATCTACTTTGGGAGACTGTTGCTCACAGTTAAATATTCCCCAACTTTTCTTTTTTTTTTTAAAGATTTATTTATTTGACACAGAGAGAGAGACAGCTAGAGAGGGAACACAAGCAGGGGGAGTGGAAGAGGGAGAAGCAGGCTCCCAGCTGAGCAGGGAGCCCGATGCAGGGCTCGATCCCAGGACCCTGGGATCATGACCTGAGCCAAAGGCAGATGCTTAACGACTGAGCCACCCAGGTGCCCCCCCAACTTTTCAAAAAGATGTTATTTATTTACTTATTGGAGGGGAGGGGCAGAGGGAGAGAATCTCAAGTAGACTCCACATTGAGCGTGGAACTCAACGCAGGGCTCCATCTCACAACCCTGAGATCATGACCTGAGCCAAAATCAAGAGTTGGACACTTAACTGACTGAGGCACCCAGGTACCCCGATAGTCCCCAACTGTTTAGACAGTACGGTTGCCTCTCTAACTTGCTCCCCATTCTCTCCTGGTATATGGAGGGGAAAGTTGAATGGAATTAACCCACTACTCCTTGGCAGAGACATTGGTTTAGCACTGGTCAGCCCAGCCCGAGCCACCTAGCACCCAGTGTTCCCCTGGTCAGAGTGTGTTCAGAGATGGAAAGACAATCCAGATTGACCTAATCAAAACAGAAGGAAGCCCAGGGCCATCCTTTGACTGGGGAGTGGGGGCAGTACCAAGAAGGCCCCGCTCCTCTAGGAGTGATGGTATGCCAATGTTAAGCCTACAACCGCTACATTTTGCAACAAGGGGTGAAAACTAGCCTGGGGAGAAAACCAACCCGAGGGAACTAGCAGGGCCAAGAGAATAGCAAACAGCCAAAGTCTTGATCAGACCGTACCTGAAACCTATCCTACTACTGGACTAGTTCAGTAAAGAGACAAATTTCCTTTATTATATAGGTCAGTTTGAATGAGTTTTCTGTTACTTGTAGCCAAAATGGGCTTCTTATGTTTTCCATCAACTTAGTGATAGGGAAAAAAGCAGCTTCTCAATAAAATGGTTTAAAATTACTATCAAATATCAACAGTTGTATCACTTAAGTACCTATATCTTTGTGTTTCCCAGGAAAAATCTTCACAGATCACCTTTGTGATCCAGCCCAGCCCACACCTTCTGGTGGCAGATGGGGTGGAATTGTATGGGAGGTCATTTTAATGTGCTCCCTTCCCCGCTGCTTCCTTCTCCGAGAGCAGAGGAGTGAATTCCCCCACGCTGACAGGCACTGAGCACCTTCCAGTGCTTTTGTAATCCCTCTACATAAGCAATCAGAGCCTAAAGTTGGAGGGTGCAGAGAAGAAACAGTGCACCAGCACGAACTGGTGTGGCTCAAGAAACTGGACGTTGCTGGCCAGAGCCCAAGGAAAGACCCTGCACAAGCTGGGTGATGCCCATGTTCTGTTTGGTGCAAAACCTGGTGCCCGTCCTGATGTCGGCCCCCATCCCTCCCCCCTCACTGTGAGTGCCAGGCTCCGTGCTGAGCCCTACTACAAGGTAGGTACTCTGATCCCCGCTTTGCTGAATAATGAGGAAACTGAGGCAGATTGTTATTACTAAGGCAAACGATACATTTTTTAAAATGAAATGTTAGCCCAGCACAGGAGGCACTCCGTAAATAGGCATCAAGTGAGTGAATGTTACCTATTTTCCTGGGGTTGCAAAAGCTGATAACTCGTTAGTGGCTTTCTTCATCCAGGGCTATTTATAGCAGCGACTCTGCACCAGGCCCTGGGGAGACAGAGGTCCTGCCCTCATGGAACTCAGTCTGGTGGGAGACACGGGCAGTGAGCCAAGAACTGAATGTCATGCGTAGGTGTGCATGAGGCAGGCATGGGGGGCGGCCTGGGAGTGTTGGGAGACCCTCCTAAGGAGCCGCCATTGTGACAGCCGAGCATGAGAAGGAACGGCTGGACCCAGCTGACGGGCACAGCATTTCAGAAAGAGGAAGAGCAGGTGCGCCCAGCCCTGAGGGAGGAGCCTGGTGTATGAGAGGAAATCAAGGCCGGCAGAGCAGGAGCGGAGTAAAGGGGTGTGGGCAGGGTGTAGAGGAGCATGGGCCAGATAGACAGGGCCTCCTGTGTTTTAATCCCAAGAGCAAGGGTCCTGAGCTTTGTGATTTAAGAAATAAGCACTTTATTCCTTAACCTGGTGGTAAAGACACGTTTGTATAGTATTCTGCATAATTATTTGAACATCTGTGATATTTCCTAACAGAGATGAGATTTTGTCAAAATTGCTGTCAGTACAGTGTGGGGAGCAGGTCTGAGGAAGACAAGAGTGCAAGAGTGGACTTGGAGAGACTGTTACAAGTAAGAGACAGTGGTGACATGGCCCAGGGTAGTCGTGGTGAAGACAAGAGAGGGTGTACCCCCACGACATTGGGAGGCAGAATTGTAGGGCTTCACGTGAGTCATCAGGTGGGGGGTAGGGAATAATCAAGATCCTTTTTTTTTTTTTTTAAGATTTTATTTATTTATTTGACAGAGAGAGAGCACGCGAGCACAAGCAGGGGGTGTGGCAGAGAGAGAGGGAGAAGCAGACTCCCCACTGAGTGGGGAGCCCAACGTGGGGCTCGATCCCAGGACCCAGGGATCACGACCTGAGCTGAAGGCAGACGCTGAACTGCTTACCCGACAGAGCCACCCAGGGGCCCCTCAAGATCCTTTTCTAAAATGAAAAGCCATGTGCCTAACAAGAAGTTCTATTTCCACTGGAAAGACAGCAGGCATTAAAGCACAGTGCGGACTAGTGGGGACTCTGGGACAGACAGAACTGGCTTCAGATTCACCAGCAGTGACGTGAGGCAAGTCAGTCAGCCTCTCTGAGCCTCCGTTTCTCTCCTTAAACATGTCCAGCGGTTGCGAGGATTGCATAAGGGCGTGTGCACAGAAGGCATTTCCTCGCACAGTGCCAGGCGCGCGTGAAACAACCAGTCAGTGGAAGGGCTCCGTCTGGTTGTTACTGAAAATCTAGATTTCTTAACACTCAAGTTGGCGTCAGGATCTTTGTTGGATCCCAGGTCACCTGGTTCAGCCACTGGTTCTCAGACTGGGTGCCATGGGACTCCCCTGCAGTGCTTGACAGAAATACAGCGTTCCGGCCTCGCCTCCAGAGCTTCTGATTTGGAAGTTGGGGCCCAGGAATGTGTGGTTTCATCGAGTTCAGTCCCAGAGTGATGCAGACACTGGGGTCCTCGGACCACACTTGTAGAGACCCTGCTCCAGGCCCTATTATAATAAAACACACCGATACTCCCCCAGCACCCCAGCACCACCACCACTGCCCAGGTGGTGGTAAAAAGGCCTGACATCCCTGCTTCTGTTAGTTACCTTCTGGGGGCAGTGACAGGAACACCAATCAAACTGGCTGCAGCAGAAAGGGAATTTATTGGCCTGTGCAACTCACATGTGCAGGCTAGCTCTGCTCCTGTCTGCGTTGGCCTGACCCCCAGGCAAGCCTTCTCCACATGCTGCCCCCCAGGCCCAGGCTCACCCATCCTTGCAAATGGCAGTCCCAGCGGAGGAATTGTCAGCAAAGGGGCCCAGCCAGAGCCTCCCATGGAGCCCCACTGGCCTGGTTGGATCAGCCACTCTCGAACCGCTTGGGTTGAGATTAGGGGACAGCTGACGTCACCAGAAGAAGGGGGACAGGTGCCGAGCAGGAAGAAACTGAAGATGGCCACCACACTCCAAAGGGGAGCTCCGATGATAAATATCCCTACAAACAGCTCTCGCAGGCGTGAGCGCCCAATGGCCAGGGATGGTCAGGCTGTGGCCAGAGAGCACTTTGTAAGGTGCTGCCCCGAACAAGGAAGTTTTCTTCCAAACAGTTCTCAAGCCTCCCGACCTCGGCTCCCAGAATGTCCTTCTTCCTCCTTTTCCTAACCCAGGACACCCAGCTTCACGATCGCTGTCCCCGAGAAGCCTCCTCCCTCAGCTGCCCTGTGGCTTTGCCCTCTGCATGCCTGTAACCGTAGCTCCCAGAGGCAGGGTGGGCTCAAGTCCTGCCCTGCCCCTTCCTAGCTGGGTGTCCTTGGACAAGGGACTTCCTTCTCTGAGCTCTGTTTCTCTCATCTGTCTGGTACCTGGCCATTTCCTGAAGCGCTCTCTGCACTTCCTCAACCATCAGAGACTTTTTCTGTGGGGCACACGATGCCCTAAATAAAAGGTACGTTTCTCATGGTCCCTGGCAGCTGGGTGTCCCAGGACTAAGGGCTCCCCATGGGGTGGGAGCCGCAGTGTCAGAGGCTGTCTGAAGGGATGGCTGGCATGCATCTGTCGTCTCTTGCTGGCGCACACCCTCAGTCCTGCTGCCCGAGATGCACGCACTGCCACCTTTGACCCGGAGGGAAGGCCCTGGGAGTGGCAGAGCGGTGACCCGAAGCCACTCAATAGAACAGAGCCACCGTACCTGCCCCGCAAGTCAGGCCTCCAGCCTTTGGCATGAGAAGTAACTTCTGGTTTGTTTGAGCCATGATAATTTGGGGCGCTCTCTTACAGCAGAAAGTCACCCGAACTCAGAGTCTCTGCCTCTCAGGGGTTGTTGTGGAGAGTAAATGAGAGGATGTGGTTAAGAGGCCCAGCACGGGGCCCGATGCACAGTAGGCACTCCCTCGAGCGGGTGGCTGTTCTGTCCTCCCAGTTATTCTAACCATCCACTTCGTTGTGCTCACGTACATGAGCGGGTTGTTGGCCATCTGCCTCCCGCCTTGGGGCGGGCACCTTCACGCCAGGGGCTTTGTCTTCTCTCTCTCTCTCCCTGAGCTCTGGCCTGGTTCCTTGGATGCCAACGACAGAAACCAGCTCCGGCTGATTATTGGCAGACCACGAGGCTCCCACAGGCTGGCAGGGGAGGCCGAGACCCACGCTTGGCACAGACAGGCACCCCCGGCCACAGAGCGGCTGCACTGCAGATCCCACCCTGATGGGAGCAGTTGCCAACTGTTTGAGGTCTCCCCGCGTCTCTCCCCCTAGGCCCCGTTTGGGCCACATGCCCACCTCTCAAAAGAGGGGACACCTTGGTGAACACTTCCACCGGACCGGACCCAACAGGACTAAGTTCAGTCCCCAAACGGAAAGTGAAATGGCCACTGAGCAGTAAACGTCCCAAGTATGGACGGGGTCTGGATGCTCCTGGAAGTGAGGAGCAAAGACCCTGACCCAAACACGAGTAAACTGTATCGCCTCTCAAAAACGGACGTCTGCACGTGGCTGCTCGGGGTGAGTGGATGGGTGGATGGTCAGCGGCAGCATCCCTGGGGCCCAGGTACTTTCCAGCCTGGGCTCCGCCCTCCGGCTGCGAGCAGGAGCTCCAGACCTGAGGAGGAGGAAGAGAGGAAGGCCCCTCCTGGAAAGAGGACAATTCCCAGAGGCCCCAGCACACATTCCCCCAGGTCTCACTGGCCAGAGCACTGCGTCACACGCCCTTTCTGGAAACATAATGGCAAGGACAGATGGAATCACCAAAATGGGTTTGGACTAACCTCCTGAGTGGAAAGAAGTTGGGGGTCAATCCCAGGTCTCCCTCTGTGCTGATGTGGGACCCATCTGGTCGAACCTGCTCCAACTGGCCAGGAAGGCTGAACCACATTGTTGAGTATTTTCCATGAGTAACCAGCAGGTGGGACAAGGCAGTGCTGCTCAATCCTTTCGTTTGAGGTTCTGCTCACCAGCGTGAGCGTCAGAATATACTTCCAGGGTCCTGTGCCTTCGTCTTTCCAACGTTAAGCCTCACCCTCGTCAACAGGCAGGGAAGATTCCAGAAGCCTGGAGAAGTTGGCTCACAAACATTAGCACCCCTGCTCCTGGGCAGGCAGGTAAGGAGTCCATCGAGAGCCCCGCCATGGAGCAGGCTTCCTGATCCAGCTCGGCTGCTCACCAGCTGCATGGCCTTGTACTTAACCTTCAGGGACTTCTCCATGGAGTGGGGACAAGATGCTCAGCACACCTTAGCCCGACATTCTTCTATTCTAGGGACCATCTAGGCTAGGGGCTCTGTGTGGGCCCTGCCAGACCTCCCACTGTTGTCCCCTCTCTCGGCTCCCTTTCGTGAGCAGCCACTGTTCCCGGTGGTTCCTGTGTCTCTTCTCCATGTCCCTCCTTCTCTGCACTGTCCCTCCCTGTCGGCCCACTCTCCTCAGCTTCTGTCACGCTCACACTTCTGTCTTCCTGGACCACTGGCCTCCTGGCCTCCTGGCCTCCAGGACCCACACGCCTTTGGCTTTTCCTTCTTCCTCCGGTTACCCTTTGTGGTCCTTCTGCAGGCTCCTCCTCACCTGCTCAACCTCTAGCTCAGCACTGGGCCCTTTGTCCACACCCCGGGGTCAGCCTGGCTCTGGGTTTTCAGCACCAGCTCTGTGCTGATGACCACCTCAAAGAAAAACCCCATGTGTTTCTCCACGTTCCATACTTTTGTTTCAACAAACGTATGGGTTTTCCACACCCAGGAGTTCCAACACTAACTGCCTGGAGTTAGTGCAGACCCCACAGGTTAAGTGCTGTCCCACAAGATCCTGCAACCCCACCCCCCACCACTTCAGACACCATTTGAAAGTCCAGGTTTTCACCTGGGCCTCTTATAAATCAGAGGTTCCCATGACCCCTCCTCGGGTTCGATAACTTGCTAGGATGGCTCACAGAACTCAGGAAAACGGTTTACTTGTAATTAAGGATTTATTCTAGGACCCAACACACAGACAGATGGAAGTGATGCACAGGGCAAGGTATTAGGGGGTGGTGTGCGGAGCTTCCAGGCCCTCTCCAAGCATATCATCTTCCCAGCACCTCCACCTGTTCGCCTGTCTGGAAACTCAACTCTTCCGCTTAGAGTTTTGACTGGAGACTCCACTGTGCACGCACAGTTGATTCAATCCCTGGCCACTGGTGACTCATGCAGCCTCCAGCCCCTCTCCCCTCCCCCAGAGGCTGGGCGGGGGTGGGAGGAAGGCAGGGTAGAGATGGGACTGAAAGTTCCAGCCCCTGGCAGCCAGCCCCCCATTCTTGGGGGGCTTTCCAAAAGTCACCTCATTCACATACACTCAGGTGTGTTGGAAAGGGGCTTGTTATGAATAACAACAGATGCTCCTTTCATCTTTATCACTCTGGAGGCTTTTCAGGAGCTGGGGACAAAAAACAACTATAAGTTGCTCCTAGTACTCTTACCACTTAGGAAATTAAGAAGGGTTTTAGGCGCTCTGGTCAGGAGCCATGGACGAAGACCAAAATATCTATTTCTTCTATCACAACATCACACCCCAAACCCCTCTGCCAAGTTCCAGACTCAAATCCTACTGTCCACATGACCCCTCCACTTCGACAGTTCAAATGTGATCACAAACAGCTGGGATGTCCCCTCCCAGACTTTTCCGTCCCAGCGAACACTCGGGCGTTGCACACTCAGGCGCCTCCCCCTCCACGTCCAGTCCACACATGGTCCCGGTCAGTCCCATATCCAGTATCTGTTTTACCTCCCGAATCTGTGCCCATTTTTCCATTCCTTCTCCCAGCACACTAGTCCCAGCCATTATCTGGCCTGCACTCCCACTTCTGCCTTCCCCGAGATCTACTCCCGAGCCAGCCACCAGAATTACCTCAGGAAAAGCGAACTGTATCAATGGATGAAAGAATAAGCAAACTATGGCACCACCACACAACGGAATATTCAGCCATAACAGGAATGAAGTACGGATCCATGCCACAACATGAAGGAACCCCAAAAACATGCTGAGTGAAAGAAGCCAGTCGCAAAAGGCCACATACTATATGACTCTGTATATAGAAATGTCCAGAACAGACAAATCCATAGAGACAGAAAGCAGGTCAGTGGGACCTTTGGGCTGGAGGGGAGTGGGGATGGAGACCAACTCTTTTTTTTTTTTTTAAAGATTTTATTTATTTATTTGAGACAGAGAGAATGAGAGACAGAGAGCATGAGAGGGAAGAGGGTCAGAGGGAGAAGCAGACTCCCTGCCGAGCAGGGAGCCCGATGCGGGACTCGATCCCGGGACTCCAGGATCATGACCTGAGCCGAAGGCAGTCTCTTAACCAACTGAGCCACCCAGGCGCCCGGAGACCAACTCTTTAATGGGCACCAGGTGTCCTTCTGAGATGACAGAAAAGTTCTGGAACTGAGTAGTGGTGAGCGCTGTCCAACATTGTGAATGTACCGAATGCCACTGACTGTGTACTTTATAATGGTTATGTTATGTGTATTTTACCACAATAATTTAAAAATCAAACTGTGTCCCTCCCCTGCTTAAAATTCCCATGGCTTCTTGCACTTCACCTGAACTCCAGTGCTTCCTGTTGGCCCCTGCTCTCCTCTCTGACCTACTTCTCACCACTCTCTGCCCCTCCTACCGTGTTGGGATAATTCTGGCCTCCTTTTGGTTTCTCACCAAGCCAGGCTCTTTCCCACCTCGGGCCCTTTGCACATACTGTTCCCACTGCTTAGAAGGCTTTCCCCTCCCTTCCATGATTGGCTCTACCTCAGTTTTGAGTGTTAATTTAAATGCCACAGAGAGGCCTTCCCCAACCATCCTACCTCAGTGGGACCTCCTCTCTCCCCACCACTGTTAATTCTCTGCCATAACCCCCTGGTTATTTCTTTCATAATACCACCATTGGGTCTTTGTGTGCCTCCCTACAGAGAGTAAGTTCCATGAGAGGAGGTGGGCTCTGTCTGTCTCATTCACCTCTGTGTTCTCAGTGCCCAGCACATAGTTGGCACTCAGACGCTATTTGCTCAATTAATGAAAGATCACCCAGCTAGCAAGGGAAGGGATGGAGGCAGGATTTAAACCCAGGTCTCTTTGGTGCCAACTCTTCTGTTCTTTCTACTCCTCCACGTGATTCTGAACTATGTATGAAGCTTGAACCAAGTATCAGAGAAGGGGGTCAGAGTTAGCCATGACCTCTAATGTAGCTACATGATCACGTACAGGTATGCCAGCCTTGTGTGGCTGTCACCTCCTCTAGATTAATCACATCTGCTGGCGAAGCAGCCTCTGGACCCAGACGGCAGATGTAACTCTGGAAAATCCAAAGAGGGCCCCAGCTGAAATCTCATGGACTTCTCCTGTTTCCTCGCATTCTCCTCAAGCCAGGACCTCACATCGCCCTAGAAAGGGAAACAGTCAACTGTAGCAGCTGAAAACACTGGCTTGGAGGAACCAAAACCAGCAGAGGCAGCCCCCTCTCTTCCACTGGGTCAAGCCAGAATGAGCCCATGCCCTGGCCCAGTGCCCGCTCTCCTGGGGCACAAGCAGACCAGATCCAAGGGCTGTGCTCTGACCTTCCTCAGAATGCTCCATGAACATCAAAAGGCAGACACCAAAAAGCTCCTGGGACAGTGACAGACTCGTCCTTGAGCAAGCTGGGCTTACTGCTTGATAAGAAAGGTGCAGTGGGGGCAGGAAATCCCTTGTGCAAGAGGACTGTGTTGGCATTTCTCAAACCAGAGAACAAGTCCTTCCTCTAAAGCGGGAGTTTCTACTCCTTTTTTGTAACATGGGTCCTCTTCTCCGGGGGAATGTTTTTAAATGTGTAATATAGAATGCCTTGCATTACAGAAGACCCATTATCTTGAAATGCCGTTGTTGAATTATTTTTTAAATTGTCATAAATATATGAGAACTAACAGCTGGTTTAGTAACTACAGTAATTTTGAAGCAGGGGTGAGTATAAGCTATATTTTAAGGTATCTGCAATAACTGTCTTGTGATTTGAAGACATCTGTGATCTCGACTGATGACAAAGCCGTGGGTCCTGCTAATATGGGCTGTTACCTGCATTCATCATGGAAGGAAATGCTCAGTTTCAGTTAATGAAAATAAAGTAATTTTTCCCATCCTAAATGACCAGCCTTAGACTCTCTGGACCATAGAGAAACATGCCCGAGCCTTGCCTCCCCAACTCACAGGGGAGCTCTCTGAGGACGGAGCTGCTCCTTCATCTTCTATTAAGTGTCTGGAAAGGGCCTGCCTACCACATGGCAGGCATCCAACATGACCCTTTGAGTCTCTTGGATCTTCTAGGCAGATAATCACATAGATCGCAGATGAGAGATTTTCTCTTTTCAGTCTTGGTCCTTCTCGCTTCCTTTCTTGTCTCACCGAATTAGCTGGGCTCTTCTGTACACTGTTGAATAGAAGCAGTGACGGTGGGCACCCTTATCTTATTATGCTCCATATTGACTTACTAATTTATTCAGTACAGATATAAAGCACCTACTATGTGCCAGATGTGACAAAATTGAGATCTTTTCCTGTCCAACTGAGAAGCCTGAGCAGTAGAGGCATTCTGTGGACAGAAATACTGAGAACATCACTAAATTCTCCCTACTTGCTAACCTGCTCTCTTAGGATCCTGATTCCTCAAAAGTATGGAAATAGGTCCCTGCTGGTGGTCCCAGTCTCCAGGGCACCGGTAAGGTTGGCAGGTGTGGGCTGTCCCAGGACCACGGCAGGGCAGGGCAAGGAGGCAGCACACGGGAAGGATGACGACAGATGCCTCCAGCAGGGGTCTGCTAGAAGATCCGGCCAGGGACGTGGTTCGAGCCTTGCCCTCTTAGGGCCTGTTGAGGCCACCACCTGTCTGCACTAAGCTGGTAACTACAGGCAGGAGCAGTTGTTAAAGCCAACGGAAAGAGGGTTGCAGCTTTGGGGTGGGCAATTAGGGGAGGAGATACCCGATACCTGTCCTCTCCACCTCCTCCCACTCCTGAGGGAGTGGATGCAGAGACCAGACCAGTGCACACATCCTCTCCACTCTGTCCAGCTGACACTGGTAGGGGAGGGACTTTTTTTTTTTTTAAAGATTTTATTTATTTATTTGAGACAGAGAGAATGAGAGAGAGAGAGCACATGAGAGGGGGGAGGGTCAGAGGCAGAAGCAGGCTCCCTGCTGAGCAGGGAGCCCGATGCGGGACTCGATCCCGGGACTCCAGGATCATGACCTGAGCCGAAGGCAGTCGCTTAACCAACTGAGCCAGGCGCCCGGGGAGGGACATTTTTAATCAAATATAAGATTGACATTTAAAATGGACCAGACTAGGGGTGCCTGGGTGGCGAAGTCGGATAAGGGTCCAACTCTTAGTTTCAGCTCGGGTCATGATCTCAGGGTTCTGAGACTGAGAGTCTGCTTGAGATTCTCTCGCCCTCTGCTCTCCCCCCCCCCACCCTCAAATAAATAAATATTTGTTTAAAAATAAAATGGATCAGACTATGGCTTAAGGACTGGAATAAGAATGTTGCAATAACAAAATGTGACTGAGAAGTCAGATGAGACTGAGATGTTTGTTTTTTTTTTTTTTAAAGAGAGGGAGACTGAGCGTGGGGGTTGGGGAGAGGGAGAGAGAGAATCCTCAAGCAGACTCCCTGCTGAGCGCAGAGCCAGACACACACGGGGCTTGATCCCAGAACCCTGAGATCGTGACCTGAGCCAAAATCAAGAGTCCAATGCACAACCAACTGAGCCACCCAGGCTCCCCCAGACTGAGATGTTTTTAAGAAAGTCTACTGCGCTACAGGAGGTGGGGGGGGCAGGATTGGGAAAAGCAGACTTGGTGGAAGCCAATGGAAACATTACCGCTGTGATAGGCAGACAATAGGCCCCAGAGATGTCCCCATCCTACCCCCCAGGACCTGTGAATATGCTACCATACCTGGCGAAAGGGACTTTGCAGGTGTGATGAAGTCAAGGCTGTAGAGAGGGGGAGAGGAGCCTCGGTTATCCAGGTGGGCCCAGTGTCATCGCAAGGGTCTTTTCAGGAGGGAGGGAGAAGGGTCAGTTCTAGAGGAGATGAAAGCAGAGGTGAGAGGGAAGCCACCAGCAGCTGAGGAATGCAGGCCGCCTCTGGCAACTCCAAAAGGCAAGGATCCCCCTGGAGCCTCCAGAAGGAACAAAGCCCTGCCAACACCTCGATTTTAGCCCTATTAAGACCATTTAGACTATTGACCTCCAGGGCCGTAAGATAACAAATTTGTGTTTTAAGCCACTGGGTTTTCGGTAACCTGTTAGAGCAGCAATAGGGAACTAAGACAGCCCCCAGGATGGAGACTCCTCCCGCCCCCCACCTAAACCAGAAGCAGGGAGATGTGTAGGAGAGGGCCTCCACCCTGAGGTTTGGGACAAATGGTCTTTTTAGGAAGACAGAGGCTAACGGAAACGGATTCCCGGACAGTGCCAGAGATGAAGCGTGAGCAGAGTGCTGGGGAAGCCCCCGGAGGAGAGGGACGGTGGAGCTGGGCCTGGAAGGTGAGGAGGAGTCAGCCCGAGCAAGGGGGCTCAGCCTCCAGGCGGGAAGGCTCGATCCTCTAGCGCAGAGACCTCCTGCCCCCATTCCGGGGTGGCCTGCGGGCGTCAAGGTTGGCCATCCCTTTAGGACATTCTGCCCGCTCTCCAACCTCGGCCGGGCAGATACAGTGCAGGGGACAAGCAAAGCCACTCAGAGGCACCCCTAAGTGAACAGGACGGGGTGCCGCCGGACATCAGGCCCAGCGTCCCGGGCGTGTGTGTGGTGGGGAGGGGAGTGGATCCGCCCCCACTCCGTCCCGCAGGAGGAAGGAAGTGGTTCCCTCCTCCCCCCCCTTCCCTCAGGCTAGCCGGGGACAGGATTCTCGTGATTCGCGATTGGCTCCCACGGGCGGGACCTTTGTCCATCTGCGGGAGCGCAGGAGGCCCAGGCCAGGCGCCGGGCCTGCGGAGCGGGAGGGGGCGGGGGAGGGGGCCAGCCAGAGACCAACGGGGACACAGACAGGCCAGGGCAAGGGCGCTGAGACAGGCAAGAGCCCGGGACCGTGGCGCGGGCAGGGTTAGAGGGCGGCCCGGGGGGCGGGGCGGGGGCCGGGGGGCGGGGGGGAGGGGGAGGGGCGGGGAGGAAGGGGCGGGCGGGGCGGGCGCCGAGCTCGCAGTCGCTGCGGTGGCCGCCGGCAGGAGGGGCGCAGGGTAAGTGCTCCCCGGCTGTTAGCGCGCCGCCCCTATCCCGACCCCTCCGGGGAACGGACCCTCACCCCCGCCTCGGGCCCCCCCCCCGCCGCCCCCCGTTGCCCTCTGTTCCAGCGTCTAACAGCGCCGGCCAGCGCGGGCAGACTGGGACCCCCCTCCCGGGGACCCCCTGCCCTGTCCAGGGCGTATAGAGTCAGGTGGAGGGGCAGGACAGGAGACGCCGTGCCACAGGTCTTGGAGGGAAGCCCCTCTTGGCCTCAGTTACCTCCCCTTGAAAACGGGAGCGTTGAGAAGCATTTGTATGGCGGGCTTAACCTGGAGACAGGTGCCTTCATCACCCGCTGAGCGCAGCAACAGGTGAGGTAAATACCATCTTTGTCTCCCTCTTACAGGTGAAGAAACCAAATCTCGGGCCAAGCCACTTGCCTTGGGTCACCTAGCCAAAGGAGGCAGAGCCAGAACTTACACCCAGGTCTGTGTGAACCCCTAAAACCTTTTATTCATCATCCCTGCCACCCCCCTCCCCACCCGGGGGAGACTGCAGGGGGAGAAGTGAGGATAAAGGTAGTACTGGGTATCCCAGGAGGAGGCTGAAATGAGCCATCCTCAAGGGCAGCAAATCCTTCACCTGGGGGGCCACGTCTGCCTTTGGCTCCGGTTATGGTCCTGGGCTCCTGGGATCGAGCCCTGCGCCCAGCTCCCTGCTCAGCGGAAGCCTGCTTCTCCCTCTCCTACTCCCCCTGCTTGTTTTCTCTCTCTCGCTGTGTCTCTGTCAAATAAATAAATAAAATCTTAAGGGAAAAAAAAATCCTTCACCTGGGAATACTTTTAAACACTCAGGTCTTGGGGCGCCTAGGTGGCTCAGTCATTAAGCATCTGCCTTCAGCTTGGGTCATGATCCCAGGGTCCTGGGATGGAGCCCTGTGTCGGGCTCCCTGCTCGGAGGGAAGCCTGCTTCTCCCTCTCCCACTCCCCCTGCTTGTGTTCCCTCTCTTGCTGTGTCTCTCTCTGTCAAATAGATAAATAAAATCTTAAAAAAAATAAAAATAAAAAAATAAACGTATCTTGGGGCAAAGTGTGCTGAGGAATGAGAATGGTGGGTTGGGGACAGGTGAAACTCCAGGACACAGAGGTACAGCCAGCGCATGGGAACTTCCAGATCTCTAGGCAGCACCTCTGCTGGGTGCAGGGGCTTTTGCAGGCTTAGCCATAGGACTTCACCTCTCCATACCTCCGTTGCCTTAACTGTCCCATGGGGTTAAGCATGGTACTTACAGCATTGCTGAGATGAAGTGAGATGCTTGGTATAAAGGCTTAGCCCAGCTCCTGGCTCAAGGTTACTACGGAGCTCTGCCCCACCCACACCCCAGCTCCTTCCAGCCCCTCTGAAAGCACTCCTCTGTCCCAGACACCTTTAACCTCAGGTCAGTCAGGGCTATCTGAGATCTGCAGTATTTCCGGACAGCCCCACCAGCAGCTGGAAGCTTCTTGAGTAAGACCAAGCGTAGCAGCAGCAACTTCTCACACTCTTGAGTCCCTGGGGGAAAGACCAGTAGGAGCAGCGCTTTGAAAATCTTTGGGCTGAGGCTTGCACAATTCCAGAACCACTCTGCAGTCCCCAAGCCCTCCGTGATCACTGGTTTAAGCAAGAAAGAGGAAGCCCACACTCTTACAGCCCCAAAACCTGCTCCTCCCCTCATCCCCCACATCTAAGCCCACAGCAGCTTCTACTCCTCTGCATGTTCTGAATCTGGCCATTCCTCTGCATAGTCACCATCTTTTGCCTCCTCTTGGCCTCCCTGCCACCACCCTTCACCCCCAGATCTTCAGCATTGCCTCCCAAGCCCTCTGTGAGATCAGACTCTTGTCTCCTGCCACCATTCTCCCACTGCATGTTCCCTGTAGACACACTGACCTCCTCTTTCTTCCTTGGACTTGCTGAGGTTTGGTGGAGGGGAGTTGCCCTCCTAGGGCCTGTGTACGTGGTCTTCCTTCTCCAGAGAATGCTCTTCTTGGCCATCTTCTTGTGACTTACCTCTTTGCAATTCAGGGACCACTGTCCAAGTTGCCTTCTGGAGTCTTCCCTGACCACTACACCCACAGGACCCACACTCGCCTGCTCTCTTAGTGCATTACTCTTTCTCTTTCTTCCCATGCTTAGGCTCAGGGGATGTTACCTTACTTACGTTCCTTGTTTGTCTACCCAGCTAAAGTATCCATCTAGCAGGGTTCTGACCTTTTTCTTCGTTACTTCGGGTTCCCCCAGAACCCAGCACAGTGCCTGGCACGTAGTAAATGTTCCAATTATGTTTTACAGTTGCCAGTGGTGTGCACAACCATCAGGGTTCTACTTGTCATTGCTTAACAGCCTTCTTTACAACAGGATTGTAAAGATATATATATATATATATACACACACACACACACATAGACCTCAGAATTATCATTCCTTCTAACAGCCCACTGCCTTCCTCAGCTGTTCTCTAAAGTGGGGCTTATGGGGTCTTTCCAGGTTCTAGTCATCATATCCAAATTAGCTTGTCCACATTGTACCTGTAATTTGCTACGAAATGATTTGAGATAATAGTTCCCAAACTGATGTGTTCAAGTCAAGAGTATGATTATTTTGAAGGCACTTGCCACCTAGCACCCGAAGGCTGTTGAAGAAAAACAATGCCTGGCGGTATGTGCAAGTTTCCCTACAGCCTCACAAGCACTGAGTTTTAACACTTTTGTCTAGTTTAATGGAAAGGTCATGTATGTATCTTTAAATTTTCTGTTGCTTGAATTAGTGAAGCTGGGTGTTTTTCTATAAATATGCTCGTTCTATTTCCTGTCTTGTGGAAGGAAATCTCCAGGGCATCTTAATTGTTCCCTTCACCTTTGCTTGTGCTAAAGGTTCCACTTGAGACTGTCTCATGAGAGCAGGGTGAGGGCCCCCAGGGGCTAGAACAGGAACACACTGAGCTGAACTCTGCTGGTTGCAGAAGCTGTTCTGCCAGTCAACCAGCAAGAAACCTTTGAGAGTCCCTTGTGCCCGCAGCATGGTACTGAGGAGAGAACGAACTTTTTTTTTTAAGTCTTCGTGAATAATTTTCTCAAAATGATAATTTTTTCTTAAATTATAAAAGCACACAGTGCGTAGGGTTACTCATTGGAACATTGGGGCAGCAAAAGTTTGGGAAATAATCTAAATTCTGATCACTAGCGAGACTACACACATTCCTACAGGGACACCTTGTGGAGTCATTCCAAGGAGTGCACCTGATCTAGCACGTACTGATCCAGAACAATTGGAAATACTGTATTAGTCTCTGATGGCCACTATAACAAATTACCACAAATTGGATGGCTTAAATCAACATAAATTTGTTACCTTACAGTGCTGGGGATCAGACATCCAAAATCCATCTCGGTGGGCCAACATCGAGGTGTTGGCAGGGCTGCATTCCTTTTGGAGGCTCTAGGGGAGAACCTGTTTCCTTTCCAACTTTTAGAGGCTGTCCACGTTCCTTGGATTGTAATCCCTTCCCTCCAACTTCCGCTTCTGTACTCACATATCCTTCTGTCTCTGATTCTCCTGCTCTACTCATAAAGACCCTTCTGATTACATTGGGCCCACCTGGATAATCCCCATCTTGGGATCCTTCATTGAATCTCATCTGCAAAGTCCCTTTTGCCATGTAAAGTGACATATTCACGGGTTCTGGGATTAGGACAGGTGCACCTTTAGAGGGAGGGGAGGTCATTATGGAGCCCACCACACCCTAAAGGGAAGTAAGCAAGGTTCAGAGCAGAGTGCGTGGACTCACATTTGTTGAAGTTTAAACGAGAGAAAAGGAGTAAATATGGATGTGCTTGCGAAGGCATGGGATACCCCTGAAGGCCAAATAGGAAACTGCTAAGAGTGGCTGCTTCTGGGAAGAATGGGTAGAAAGGAGGCTTACTAGTCATAGTATATCTTTTTGAATTGTTTCAGTTTTTTAGTACATGCCTATGTCACCTCCATTAAAAATAAATTTTAAGAAGTAACACTCGTTGTAAAAGGTCAGACCTTCCAGAAGTGAAGGAAAATACCTACAAAAATCAGTCCCCCAGATCACTCCCTTTTTGTCCAGCAATAATCACTGTAAAGAGTTTGGCTATATCCTTACAGACTTATTTTTAAAAATGCATATGTAGGGGCACCTGGGTGGCTCAGTCGTTAAACGTCTGCCTTCGGCTCAGGTCATGATCCCAGGGTCCTGGGATCGAGCCCCACATCCGGCTCCCTACTCTGCGGGAAGCCTGCTTCTCCCTCTCCCGCTCCCCCTGCTTGTGTTCCTGCTCTCACTGTCTCTCTCTCTGTCAAATAAATTTAAAAAAAAATCTTTAAAAAAAAATAAAAGTGCATATGTAATTTTTCACGTAGATGGGGGTCATACTGTGTATATTATGCTGCAGTGTGAATTTTTGTTTTATTATATCATTCACCTCCTTCCTCATCCACATATGAAGATTTAACAACACTAGAGTTTCTCACTGCTCAGATATACCTAAACTGACTTAACCAGACCCTCATTGGTGGACATATAGATACTTTGCTGCTTTCCAGAGCATTCCCGATACTGTAATGTATGTCTATGTGTCTTTTTTTTTTTTTTAAGTTTAAACTGGAGTGAAATTCACATAACATGAAATTAACCATTTTACAACTCCGTGAACATTTAGTGAATGTGGCATTTAGTGCATTCCCGATGTCACGTAACCACCACTTCTATCCAGTTCCAGAACATTTACATCAAACCAAAAGGAAGCCCTGTGTCCATTAAGCAGTCACTCCCTACGCCTCAACTCCCAGTCCCTGGCAACCACCAATCGCTTTCTGTCTCTGTGGATTTGCATATTCTGGGTATTACATATCAGTGGAATCATGTAATATGTGAAGTTTTCATGTGGCTTCTTTGATTTAGGGTCATGTTTTAGGGGTTCATTCATGCTCTAGCACGGATCAGGACTTCGTTTCTTTTTATGGCTGGATGACATTCCCATTGTATGGATAGAACAGCTTTTATTTATCCATTCATCCCCTAACGGACACTTGGGCTATTTCCACCTTTTGGCTATGAGTATTTGTGTATATGTATTTGAGGGCCTGTTTCCAATTCTTTTGGATATATACCAAGGGTGTGCATCCTTCTGCATACACTTTGAGCTTTATGCTATTTTCAGACACTGTTAACATAAGCAAGTTAAAAATAATTGGTAACAAAGTGTTGCAAAGCACATACTAAGATAAATGATAGCAGGACGTCAGATTTAGACAAATGTTTTCTTATTTTTCAGATCCAGAGAGGACAGGAAAATGGCCACCTGGGATGAAAAGGTAAATTAATTCTGGTGGACCAGCAGCGTTAAAGGGCCTCCCCAGGCTTGAAGACAATTCTGTTTGGTGTTTCAAACAGGATAAAGGGAAAACACCTGTTTGGGCTGTTTCTGCCATACCGAAGCGTTTAGTCACAAAGGTGAAAATTATAGCAGGAATTCACAGACCTCAAGGATCTGAATCAGATCCTTCAAATCCCACCTCTGCATTTTAATAACCATGTGTCACGAGGCCCTGACCTTCACCTCGCTGAGACCTCCGTCTCCTTATCTGGAAAAGGGAGAGAAAATTATCCTTGTTCCTGAAGCCTTGTCAGGAAGAGTTGAGGAGACCGTGATCTCAAACTGCTAGGCTGATAGTCCCTAAGTGGCTTTTCCCTGCTGCCCATTTTACAGATAAAGACACTTGCTCAAGATCACACAGGTAGAAAATGGCAGAAATAGGATCTCACCCCGGCCTGACTCCAGAGCAAAAGCTTTGCCTTTTGTATCATGTGATCATCCCAAGCAACTATTAAACTCCGTCCTTGATATCTGCGGTGCAGGTTTGTTGGGCTTGGGGGGACATCTGTTGTGAAGGGTGAGGACAAGGTGGAAAGGAAATGCTGGCTTCCATTTCTGCTGTTCCCTGGGAGGTTCCGGGGGCCTGGCAGGTAGAGCCGGAGGCTCAGGGTAGCAGCAGGGTGATCAGGGCAGGTCCAAGAAGCAGGGTCATGGGATGATAATGATGCCCCCTTTCTTTGTAAGAGTCACTTGGATTTTAGGGCTTTTTTTTTGTTTACAGTGTGGCGGGGGGAAATGGTCCATTCTAGATGCTACCAGTTCTGACTTCAGAAATGTTGAATCTGGGGAGAATGTTCATCTTTGAATTAAATAAAATATGGTGGCTGAGCAGTACCAATAATAACATGAACAACATCTATTGAGCGCTCACTCTGCGCCAGGCATGTGCTCAGGGCTTTCTGTGTATTTGGTTTTTTAGTCCTCACAACAACCCTGTGCATTAAAAGGACTATTATTTCTTTCCCCCTCTTACAGCTTGGGAAATTGAAGTACAGCAAGGTTTAGCAATTTGCCCAAGGTCACACAGCTGGTGAGAGGTTTGGACCCATGCTGCCTGGCTTCCATGCCCTAATTACTCACTACTGATTGTATGCTTCTCAAACACAGTCTATCCCAAAGACAGGGTAGGTCTCCAGGGGGAAGAGCTCACCCCTGGCAGGGAGGGAACAGGGAATGGGGATCGCAGGGGCAACAAGGGCTCGTGGGGAGGATTCCTTCCCTCGGTCATTCATGCACCTAACAAATGTTTATCAGCACCAGTTGTGTCCTGGCATGGACCACAGCTGTCAGGCTGTAGCAGGAAAGCACGGGTCCCTGCCTGCCTGTGGCTTCCTCTGGCCGAGCGACAGACCCCTGTCAAGTCCCAAAACGGAATGTGTGAAGGTGCACATGGGCAGAGCCGTAAAGGAGAGGCCATGGTTCATGTGGGCCCCTCACTGGGGCCATTGAGATCAGAAGGGCCTCCAGACCCAACACCTGGAGGGCCGGAGCAGGGAACCAGGTACGGGGGAAGACAGAGAGGGTGTCTTGGCAGAGGAAGCGGCCTATGCAGAGGCCAGAAGGCAGGTGGAAGCGAGGCCTGAAGGAGGCCAGGGTGGAGCAACGTGATGGGGGGCCAGGAGGTGCTAAGTCTGGAGAGACAAGGCCAGGCAGAGCCCAGGGGACACGGAAGGTTCTGGGGGTGGTGCTAAGAACAGTGGGCAGGCAGGGCAGCGACCGATCAGGCCTGAACTTGGAAAAGTTTCTCTGGTATCCTGTGGAAGTGGGTAGAAATACCAGCAAGGACATGGAGGGCCAGCGAGGAGGGGAGGCAGCAGGGGCTTGGCACTGTTGGGGTGGGGAGGGATTTGTGAGTGAAGTGCCCAGAAACTGGGGCGGCAGTGGCAGTGGTGTGTATGTAGAATGTGGGACTGATGTTCAGAGGAGGAAGTCTCCTTTCCTTTGGAGGGTCATGGAAGGTTCTGCAGAAGAGGCAGCCTTTGAGCTGGGCCTTGGGATTTGAACTCATGGGGTCTAAGGAAAGGGCATTTCTAGAGGCGGGAACAGCATGGACAAAGGCCAGGAAGCAGGCTTATGTAGAGCTCCATAGAGCAGAGGGGGGGTGGGTGGGGGCGGTGATGGAGGAGGACCCCCCCGCCCTGCCCCCACCCCACCCCACCCCACCCCGCCGTGGCCAGCTGAGGAGCCTGCACTTTCATCCGGGAGAAGCCTAGTGCTGGAGCGGGACTTCCTGCCAATCTGGGAGATGCTAGCCCACCACCTGCTCCAGGGGCTGAGCCGTGAGCCACGGTGAAAGCAACTCAGGGCCAGCATTCAAATCCTGCCTCCGCCCCTTGTGGGCTGTGTGACCTCAGACCAGTTTCCGAACCTCCCTGAGCCTCTGTGTCCGTGGCCATGAGTGGGGTCGACGGTCCTCACCATGGACTTGTGACCCTTCCTGGTAAGGCATTGGACGCACAGGGCCTGCCACCTGAGAGGGAGCAACTCCAGGAGTTCAGCGATTGTTATTAATCAAAGGCAAATGGAAACAATTCCTACTTTTTCATTTGTAGTTCCCTATGAAAAGGGAAAAAAAGCCAAAATGTTCAATGCTGGTTATTCTGTGGTGAAGCCAGCTCATACCTAGTGAGCGGCTGGATCAACCCATACAGTTGTTCTGGACAAAAATTCAACAGTGTGTGTCCAGAACCATGAAAATGTTCATAATCAAACCTGGTCATCTCACTTAAAAGGAAATAACCTGTCAGAAGGAAACGAATTGCGAGCACCATATTTTGTAGCCCATCAGTCGCCACTCATAGTAGATGTGCCATTATTTTGTCCCACGGAGAAAATAATGCTGCCGTTTATTGTGATGTAATGTGACCGAACGCTGAAACCGGTCATTCGTGAGACATTCAGATTTCAGGAATGTTAAGCTCTGGGAAAATGTGGTCTTCGAATTGGTGGTAAAAGGTGCTAAAAATGAGGAGTAATCAATCAGTAGATGCAATAGTGAGAGCAGTAACTTCTTGGTGAAGTTTCTTGGCCATGAAGAAGGCATAAATCTGATGCACGTAACTAGTGGGAAAAATAAGATACAAAATTGTCTGCCGTCTTTGATTAGAGAGAAAGAGACCTCAGGCGGAGGAGAAGTCTGGTGTGTTGGGATTATCATGAATTTCTTTTCTTTTGCTCGGTTTTCGCAATGCTAAAAGAAATAGATCGAGGGTAAAGGTCTGCTCATTAGGGCGAATGACAGCAGGTAAAGCTGGAGACGGGGGTGGGGGTGGGTGGTTGTGCTGCGTATGGGTCTGAATGGAGCCAGGGAACTGGTGGGGTGGGGGGAGGGGTTAAAGGCACAGAAACAGCAGAAGCACAGAATTGGGATGCGGAACAGAGGACACATTTTGGGGGGAGGGCACTGACAATTGTGGGGGGGGGGCACAGGAACCTTTTTGTCGTGACGCAGAGGCCAGTACAAGTTGCTGGCAAGCACTGGGGAATATTGGGTCAGGACCACCTGTAGCAACTGAGCCTCTCTTGATTCGAAGGACCAGTTCCTTTTAGTAATTTACCCTTGTGGAGTTAATTGTGTTTTTAAAAAGTTGTTTTAATAGAATTGCTTTTAGGAGCTTTTGAATTATCCGGCTGCCCTGGTGTTTGAGGGGCAAATGATGGTGGTGTAGGAGAAACTGGCAGAGTTTTTCAGACCTGTCTTACCCACAGCCAGCTCTGCAGAGAGCCCTTCCCACCGCCCTGTGCCTCAGAGTTCCTCGTCTGTGAAATGGGAACAATGATACTCCCTCTCAGGTTGTGAGAATCAAACACAGCTCACTGAGCTGGGGCCAGGCTACAGCAAAGCCAGCCTGCTCGCTGGGTCATGAGGCCGAGCTGGGTTCTTAGCCATTAGCTGACCTCTTCCCCCTCTCGCAGATGATCGTGTGTCACCAGCCGCATCTGGGGAACCTGGGAGCCAGCGGGCTTAGAGGTCGCAGTAGCCCTTTGCATATTTCTCCTGAGGCGTCTGGAGGCTTCAGGTTTATTTACAGTGCTGGTACTCCACTTTGGCTGCACATGGGCAATCCCAACACCCAGGCCACCCCCAGACCAACTGAATCATCATCTTGGGGCCTGGGACCCAGGCCTTGGGTATTTTAAAAGCTTGCAGGTGGTTCCGAAGTGCAGCCAGGGCTGAGAGGCACTGGTTAGACGGTGGCTGGGTACGGTTGCTCTCTCCGTGGGCGAGAGGGGTGTCCTTACTTCTGTTCGCCCCATCTTTTCCCCCCACCCGGCCAAAGCATTGCTAAGACACTGGGGCTAGGAGTTGCCTGGATGACTCAGTCACACTGGTGATAGGTCTTCGTTTCTGGCTGAATAACTGGGTTTTTTTTCTTGCTATGTTTTTGTTTTCTTTATGCTTTCATAATAAAATAACGTGACTTATGCTTCCCAGTTAACATGGCTGATGTCACATACTTTGGACAGGGCTGTCTCCTCTCTGGCAGTCATCTCCCAACCCCAGGGAAATAGACTGGGTGCATCCTCCCCATACCTGTGTCTTTCGAACTCAACTCATTGGTGACTCCTGAAATCCATTAATGGGCTGCTATCGGTCGCTTAAGCAATGAAATAGAATAAAAATGGAAGCCACAGAGGGCTCGCACTTAGAAACTTTGGTTGTAGAACGCACGTATGTCAGTGTGTATGAAAAGGCAGGATTAAAGTGTGTTTTTCTCATGGAGTAACACTGGGCTGAGCTCCCTGCACAGCGCTGAGCTCCTCACAGCTGGGAGCCCGGTCCATCCAGGGTGGTGGTCAAAGGGGTCCTTGCAAGAGGAGGGGGCTCTGGGCCAGGCAGCCTGCCTCCGAATCAGAGCTCTGCTTCTCACTGGCCGTGAGCCCTGGGGCAGATTGTTTGGCCTCTCCTGTAAATGAGAATGTTTCAGTCCCCTTCTC